TTCGATGATGAAAATGACAAAAAATCGTGTTTTTTGAAATCACCCTGTTATTCATGATTAACTCGGTGAAATTCCCTAATTATTTTTTAATATATTCATCATTCGCTCCTCAACGCTGTCTTGAAAATTCAGTTTCCTATCATGACGGGTGTCATAGTTATTAATTCAGGAACTTACCATTTGCATGAAGAGTTGAAGAGACACACAAATAGTGAAACGTGAGAATGTGGAGGCGAAAATAAGTTTAGTATTCATATACAGGGTGAACATTAGAAATTCAATAACAATAGCAGATATATGAATTCAATAATATCAATATAATGTACAGATAGTTAGGCGAATTTCGTTGGTATACAAGCTCTGCCAAAATGAAAAACGAACAATACCTAGGAGATGGGAGAATGATTCGGTCTTTCACGCTTCCATTTCTAATAGGGAGAGTTGAATCCTGGAATCGACAGATTTTTTTCACATTTGTTTTCCACTCAGAATCAGGCGTTTCCATCATTTTCATATTTGCTTGCTATCAGTAATAATTATTATAATATCATTAGTTTCATATTCATATCACATTCCAATGATATAATTCAATACGTATGATGGTGTAATATAAATAATCCTATTATACTGGATGTTTCCGAAATAGCAGCGATCAAGGCAGCGATAAATATGAAAAGGTGTTGTATGGGACATAATGACAAAAAAATACTGAACTTGTCACGCGGCTACTGATTGATTTCAGATTGGGTGTTGTAGAATATTCCCTTTGTGGAATTTATTGTTCATCAATTTATGAAGACTTGAAGAAACTTGTTCTTTTACATTCGTCAAGTGGTCGAGATTTTTCACAAATAGTGAAACGTGAGAAAATGGAGATCAAGTGTAACATAAATGATCTATGAAGGCCCATTTTGGCAGAGCTTGTATACCAACGAAATTCGCCTAACTATCTGTACATTATATTAATATTATTGAATTTTTAATGTTCACCCTGTATATGAATATTGAACTTATTTTCGTCTCCACATTCTCACGTTTCACTATTTGTGAAAAATATCGGCCACTATGCGAATGTAAGTGAACAAGTCTCTTCAACTCTTCATGCAAATGGTAAGTTCCTGAATTAATAACTATGACACCCGTCATGATAGGAAACTGAATTTTCAAGACAGCGTTGAGGAGAGAATGATGAATATATTAAAAAATAATTAGGGAATTTCACCGAGTTAATCATGAATAACAGGGTGATTTCAAAAAACACGATTTTTTGTCATTTTCTTCATCGAAAATCTTCATGATCACCCTATATATCTCAACGAAATCATGTTCATACGGTATCAGCTATCTTGAGAGGTTAACAATTCACTCGAATATACAGGATGTGTATGAATAAATCGGTCTTAGGTGTCACCAATTTTTCAAATCACCCTGTATGGAATGTATGAATTGTGATTCATGATGGAATGAGAATAGTATATTGCATGCCTAAATTATTTTTTCGATATTTCATTATTACATCGAATTTTCAGACATCACTGAAATGTTTATATGTTTCACTCTGTAAACAATTACATTATCTGAACCATCTGAATTATGTTGAGTGATATGGAGTTTCGTTGATGATATGAGCTGAAAAAATTGTACTTGGCATCTTTGAATTTCGAGAAAATAATTAAATGAAAAATACCGATTTGTAACTTCAACGCCCTGTATCTCAGAATCTGTTCATCAAAGAACTTTACGATTCTGCAGGTTCAATCGGTTCATCGAACTCTACAACATACTGAAAATTCAGAAAATTTCACCGAGAACCATTTTACGTACTAAAAGTGCGGGGTCCATTGCTATTCATTGACCTCGCGATGACGGGACACGTGACGGGTCGTGACGATGACGCGAAATCCAATGTTTTTCTCCACCCAAAAAAGTGCTCAACGCGCCTAGAAGTTCTCACTTCGAAAAAATTGTTTTTTTCATAAGTGCAATCATGATCGAAATTTATATTTCAGCAAGAAGCAGGTCTGAATTAGAGAACATGAAATTTGAATCAAGGATTTCTTACATTCTGCACACTGTATATATCAATATAACCCTTATATCAGTAATAGCAGTGTGAATTCGTAATAATGAAGATATTTGAAATTAGGCAATCTTCTACGTATATACCCTATACAAAAACACGAAATTTCTATCTATAGCCATCTGAACTTGATAAAAAATCTTGCACACATTATTTCTGAATTACACAGACTATTTTGCACTGAACTATGATTTCGATCCCCTTCCTTGGAAGTTTTTCTGGCGACGCCAATAATGATAAGTTATATTAGTAGGAAATGAAATTAAAAAGGAAAAGAAATATTCCAAAGACTACTTGTGAGACAGTTTCAAAAATGACTCATGACATAAATTTTCATTGTAGCGAGATATAGGTAATTGCTTGACTTAAATGGAGTGAAAAGTGGAATCATGTTGAGCAGGCCCGTGGAGCAGTAGCTCTGGCAACACTGCACGTACATAATACAATTACCTACGATTGCATTCAATTTTGTGCCACCTATTGGTGACCTGCTGTAACAGACGAAATCGAAGATCTCTGCAATAGCTGTGAAAGCTGTAATTTAATTATTTTATTCCGATTTCGACATCACACTGACACCTAGAAATAGTTGTTGAACTAGTATATATACAGTCTGTCCAAGATAAGGTTGAACAGCATGGGGATCTCGAAAACGGTGAGAGATACGAAATCGGTTAAATGGGGAAAAAGTTGCGCATTCGGAGGCTCATATCAAGAGCATTCGAAAATTTTGAAAATTATTCTTAGTTCTTGAGTTATATCGAAAAAAGTGAATTTTTGGAATTTCTATTTTATTTTTTTTCTCCGTTATTATTAGAGATACAGCAAAACTGAGAATACTTTTTCATAGCAACTTTCGATGACGGTCAACGTGGTGATACCAATTTTTTCATGCGACGTTTCGTATTCGTGGAACCATCATCAACTTTTGGTTTTTAAATACGGTCCTGATAATTTTTTCACAGATTCTAAAAGGTTTTTTTATTCTGAATTCAACCATGTACTATACAAGCTGGTTCATTTGTGTTTCGACCTATTTTTGGCCATCATCAATGTTTTTTCGAAACTCCAAAGGAAAAATGCCATCAGTTCCACTTATTCTGAAGGAAAATTAGTGAACACACTAATACCTCATCAACTGGTTTCAATCAACAACCCATTTCATTTTGCGGAAACAAAAATTCCATCCATACAAATTCAGAATATGTCAAGCGCTAAAACCAGGCGATGACGAAAGGCGCAAGACATTCTGTGAGTGGTATACCAGGAAATGTTAAAATTTTGCAGATTTCTTTCGAACAATCATCTGGACTGATGAAAGCATGGTCACTAATCATGGTAGCTTCGATAGAAAAAATACACATTATTGTTCACGAGAAAATGATCATTTATACATTATAGCGAGACACCAACACCGTTTCGGCTTTAAAATGTGGGTTGCAATATTTGGTACACGAATTATTGTTCCTTCTATTTACCATGAAACACAGACTTCCGAACGTTATAGAAATTCGCTTGAGAATCATCTTGAGGAAGCTCTGGATGATTTACTGATTGCGGAAGTTCAGAACTCTGTTGGTTTCAACAAGATGGCGCTCCGGTACATAATTCCAGAGAAGTCCGTGCGTTTTTATCCCTTGGCCGGCGCGGTCGCCTGATTTGACACAGCTGGATTTTTTCTTAGGGGATATATCGAACTTTGTACACGCAAATAACTTTGAGGATGAAGAAGAACTAAGGGACAGTGTCTTCGAAGCATTCAATAAAATAACCCCAGAAATGCTTAGCAATGTCTTAAAAACAACTGTGAGAAGAGGATATCTTTGTTCAGAAAATAATGGTTATCATTTTGAACATTTGTTATGAATGTCTCTGTAGGTATTGTCAAAGTTAAGTTGTTAAAGTAATTCGTGTAAGAATTCATCAACAATTTTAAACGCTGCATTGATCGAATGATGTAGTGAAATATTTTTTATTCACTTTTCAGTATTGAATAACTAATCCATCAAGTTTGACACTAAATGATAAGAAATAAGTGGAACTGATGGCTTTTTTTCTTTTGTAAGTTCGAAAAAACATTGATGATGGATAGAAATCGGTCGAAACACATTCGAATCACCTTGTATAGTACATTGTTGAATTCAGAATAAAAAAACCTTTCAGAATCTGTGAAAAAATTATCAGGACCGTATTTAAAAAACAAAAGTTGATGATGGTTCCACGAATACGAAACGTCGCATAAAAAAATCGGTATCACCACGTTAAACCTCATCAAAAGTTGCAATGAAAAAGTATTTTCAGTTTTTCTGTATCTCTGATAATAACGGAGAAAAAAAATAAAATAGAAATTCCAAAAATTCACTTTTTTCGATATAACTCAAAAACTAAAAATAATTTTCAAAATTTTCGAAGGCTCTTGATATGAGCCTCCGAATGCGCAACTTTTTCCCCATTCAAGCGACTTGTATCTCCTACCGTTTCCGAGATCCCCATGCTGTTCAACCTTATCTTGGACAGACTGTATATAGGCTATATTCGGTCGGAAAGCTGTCGCGAAAGGCCCGTCTTAAGTTGATCAGCCCGTATTTTTGTTTTCCCTGGTATATGGGATTTCCCTGTTGATAAAGACCTTGTTTCTTCATGTTTCATTTCAGTGCTCGTCTCCGGCCCACATTTTTTATTCCGGTAGTCGTCGCCTTCACACTTTTCATCTTTCGAGGTCTCGTTTTTTTTGGTGTTTACACTCTTTTTTGATGAGTTTGATTTAGTGTCCGATTCCAATTTATGTTCTAAGATTTCAATTTTTTCACTTTGCATCACTATTATTGCTTCCTTGTCACTCATGATTATTTGTTTGTCTCGAATGATCTGCCGTAGGAGATTATTTTCTTCCCGTAGGAAGTCCTCTTCTGTTAAGGTTATGTTGTCTATTTGTGCAGGTTCATGTTTACAATCCGTTTTCTTCAGATCTCTTGCCTGTTTTAAACATGCAGGGTGAAAAACTCCCTTACATTTCACACATTTCACCTTGTTAATAACTTTTTTTTTGGCAGTATTTGCATATATTTTCAACTTTTTCTGTGGAGTCTCTTGGTACAGGTGCTAACAGCTCGTCCGCCATCTTAATTATAACTTAATTATAATATAATATAATATTAACAGAAATATTAAAATAGATTATAACATTATGAGTATATTCAAATTAACAATGAAACTGACAGCTCGTTCATGAGGTTGATTATTCTAATTCGAATTTTCATTGAAATGTTGAAGAGACATTTTAATTTCTCCAAGAAATTGATAACTTAATTCTGGCAACAGTGGTTGTGAACCTGATTCAAACCATACTGAAATGACAGAGCTATGGTAGCAAAATTATTTCTAACTAATCGAGTTGGATTTTAAGGTTAGACCATACTGACAGCTCTATTTTTATTATTATTTTTTAGTACGTAAGCGTGAAGGATTGATATTCCTAAATTGCTGTTCATTCAAAATTAAGATGATTTGAATAATTTTGTTTTGATAGTCATTCTAGCCACCAGGAGCATAATACTAGGTATAGTTGAATTATAATTTTATGATAATTCGTTCGAGAGAAACTTCCCCATTTTAGTTTCACTCTCAGTTTCTGTTTCGATCTCACTTCATCGCTTGTTGATTCCAGGTACCGCAAACCCAGTTATCAATCCTGCAGCGATTAGATCATCTCCAAATAAATCAAAGCAGTCAACATCAAATGATTCCACGACAATTCCAAAGACGACAAAAGCTAACACTTCCAAAGAACCAAATAAAACTGCCAAACTCACCGATGAACAAATTGATTCGCTAGTCAACAAGTATGTCGTTGCTGATGATACTCAAATGAGTATAGATTTATGTGCAGGGATGTCGAAAAATGCAAACGATGCTAGATTGGACCAGTTTGGGAGTAGCGATGACGAGCCCCTCTCCAATTTGAAGAAGGAGAATGTCCCGAAAAAAAGGAAACGCGGTGCTGAGCTCGTTGGCCAAAGAAAAATGAAGAAGTACGAAGAACTTTTATTGAATAAATCATTATTGAAAAACAACGAGTTTTGCGTGATCTGCTTCAAGTATATACCTAAGATAGGCCAACACATCAAGCAGTGCCACAGGAGAATGCCCAAAGATAAAATTGAATGTAAACGTTGTAAGAAATCATTTTATTACAGCTCTTTTCTCGCTGTCCATAAATGTATAAAAGAGTAGTCCCTGGGTGAGACGAATAAAGGGAACTAAGGAGCTGCCCCATCCTATGCTGTCTACTTATGACCGAATGAAGCCGTGTCGGCCTTCTTTTGGTGAGATTGATGCTTGGTGATTTCGATTTAATATCAGAAGTTGATAATGGTATTATTGAATGTTATGTGTATTTACATAATATACAGGGTGCGGCACCGAAAACGAAACAGAGGCTCTGTAGGTCGCCAAAACCGGATTATGAAAAGAATCTGAAACACGTCAACTACGTTTTCGAGGGGGACATCGTCCTACAATATTTTCAGCCCTGCGGCGTTGACGCTGCTAACGAAAAGAAGCAACAACTTTGTTATTTCAAATGGAACACCTTGTATTTCATTGCATTTTTAGATTCTCCCCGAAGAGCTGATTTCATCAATGCATCACACTTGGGGTCTAGCTGTAATGGTTTCAGGGATATAAAGTGTTCAAAATCGAGATTTTTCAACTTTAACATTTTTTGTGTCGAAACTATTCATTATTGGTCGAAACGGCTCTCATGTCCCTATATCAACTTGTGATTTACTATCTACTGACATTTAATTGGAACAGATACAGGGTGATCAGAATTCTGAATCTTGAACCACCCTGTATTTGTTTCAAATAAATGTCAGTAGATAGTAAATCACAAGTTGAGATCGGGACATGAGAGCCGTTTTGACCAATAATGAATAGTTTCGACTCAAAAAAATGTTAAAGTTGAAAAATCTCGATTTTGAACACTTTATATCCCTGAAACCATTACAGCTAGACCCCAAGTGTGATGCATTGATGAAATCAGCTCTTCGGGGAGAATCTAAAAATGCAATAAAATACAAGGTGTTCCATTTGAAATAACAAAGTTGTTGCTTCTTTTCTTTAGAAGCGGCAACGCCGCAGGGCTGAAAATATTTTAGAAAGATGTCCCCCTCGAAAATGTAGTTGACCTGTTTCAGTTTTTTTTGATAATCCGGTTTTGGCGACCTACAGAGCCTCTGTTTCGTTTTCGGTGCCGCACCCGTATGTTTAAGACATGGCGTGTTCTGCTTATAAATGTGGAAATTTGAGTAATGAGGAAGAACTTGGGATCAATTTCAATAGGTTAGTCATTCATTGAGATCTTGGTTTTTGTGTTGTTATATGAATAAAAATAGATATTTGCTAAATTCGCTTTCATTACGTTATACAGCGTTTTTCTTTAATTCTCCCCCCCCCTTCTTATTTTTTGAGAAAATGAAACTTGAGGTGATGAAATTGATGCATGAATCCTATACAGGGTGTCCGCTAAAAGGAGGTCAATCCATTAACCATATATTCCATGAACAAAAACATGTCTAAATACCATTTTTCATTTTATCCCTTCATATTCGATATACAGGTTGTCAAAGTTCAAAATTAAAAACTGTTTTTTTTTCTATTACTCGCGTATTTAGTGAGATATCAATCTCAAAATTGATACATTACTTCAGCACAAAGAGTTACATCGTGTGAGGAAAACAAAACAGAAGATAACTGTCAAATATTCAAAATACTGGGGGTCAAGTACAAACTTACCCCCATATTTTTTTGTACATGCGCTAATGACTTCCTATCTATTTTTCTTTCAAGTGTCCAATCATGTCTGAGTATTTTTTGTCTCTTGTAAAATTTTGATAAAATTATTTGTTTTTAAGATAATTCGAAAAGTACTGGTTATTGTTTGATGCCTATGCGGCTTACGGTAATCTCATAATGTTCACGCATACTCCTATTTATTTCGTCGAAATTGGAAGAGGCCGTAACTTTTTACGTACGAAGAGGTAAATATGGAAATATCGGGTGCTCAGAGCGAATGTATTAAAATCATGTTTTTCAAACGAAGAGTAGACATCCAGATTTCAGGACTTTAAAATCAAAATCTAGAAAGACGCTGGGATTTCTGATTCGAGGGGGAATGACTACCTTTTTTATCCCCGTAACTTCAACCCCCTATCAGGGAAAAGTGAAAAGTGTTGCGATACCTCATTTTGAAGATTTCATCGAGTACTATCCGACCCTCCAATTTCGCGTCAAAATTTTCATCGATAACGAAATGAGACAAAATAGTGGGGCAGACAATGTGGAATTTACCCCGAAAATATTATTCTTATTAGAGTAGGATTTCAGAAATATTTATTCAAAAAGTTTGTGGACGCATTCAACAATCGATTTGACACGGTTAAAACGTTGAATAGTCTCGATGAAATGAGGTGAATCGAAGAGATAGGTGTGTGCACAAACTATTTTGTGACAGAAAACAACCAATAAATACTTCTCGAAACTCACTCTGATAAGAATAATACTTTCGAGGTAAATTCAACATTGCCTCTTCCACTATTTCATCTCCCATTTCGTTATCAAAAATTTTAACGCAAAACTGGAGGGTCGGATAGTACTCGATAAAATCTTTAAAATGAGGTATCGCAACACCCCTCATCCCTATTCAAAATCCGGGGGTTGTGCTTTTCTCTGGTAGGGGGTTGAAGTTAGGGGGATGAAGGAAGTTGAGTCGTTTCTTCTCGAATCAGAACTCGACGTGTCCGAGCGTTTTTCCGGATTTTCATTTCAAACCCCGAAAATCGGGGTGTACAGTTTTCGTTGGACCACCATGTATTTTTTTATGTTCTGGTTCCCACGCAGAGGGATATCCTGTGATGTTCAGAGGACATCGTGAGAACCAAGGGAAATAAGGTAGGAATTGGTGTTCTTCTTAAATTTCTGGAGGTTATATGCCTCGGGGAACACCTCCCTTGGCAATGTGTTCCAGAGCCTCGCTGTTCGTTGGATGAACGAGTCTTTGGAAAGAGATGATCTGCAGGTCTCCAAAGTGACCACGAAGGGGTGCGAAGCCTCAACGCGTCGGGTTAATACCGCGGGGACTGCCAAGGCAAGAAAAATTATTGATATTTGGTGCGAAGCTAATTATCTGTATTTCAATCACAAAAAAACAAATATAATGGGCTTTAGTTTTGACTGCAACAATTTAAGCTTGAACGGAAAAATTCTAGATAACAAAAAGTATACAAAATTCCTAGGAATAACTTTAGACGAGAAATTGAAATTTGATCAGATGTTGCAGCTCTAACTAAAAAAATGGCATCCGGATGTTATGCTCTTAGAATTGTCACTAATGAATTGAGTTCATCTACAGCAAAGATGGTCTATCACTCTCTGATCGAATCTCATATATGAGATATGGAATAGCTTTCTGGGGATATTGTAGCCAACAACTTATTCAATCAGTGTTTATATACTGCAGAAACGTGCTATAAGGTACTTAGGCGAGGTAGGTATTCGAGAGTCATGCAGACCACTGTTTTCAAACTTAGGAATTGTCACTCTGACAAGTTTATTCATATTGGAAACGGTATGTCTGATTCACAAAAAGTATATGGCTGAGACTACAGTACAAACAAATCATGTGACTCGACAAATAACAGAGAGGAAAATTGCTTTACCCATTCCAAAATCCAGTTTGACAAAATTTTCTTTGTTATTTGAAAGTAAAAAGATTTATAACCATATACCAATTGAACTAAGAAAGATCATAGTAAATTCAGAAAATTGGTGAAAGATGCCCTTTTGAAAAGAGCCTACTATAATATTGAGGAATTTTACAATGAAACTCTGTTATGACCTCAACATGTACTACTCCAAATAGTATATATTTTATTGATCTGCTTTATTGACAATTGTGCACTTCAATTTTTAATGTGTACTGTTTATTGTCCTTTTACACTCAATAAGTTTATAATTTTTTTTATATTATCAATTTAGTTGTATATGTTTATGTTATAGTTTTATCAACTTTTTTGAATGCTATTCTTTGTCAATAAGAAATACTGTTTCTTAGACAATAAAGTATATTTCTCTCTCTCTCTCTTCAGAAGAGCATCGGCTAAAAGCACAACTTACTATTTCTACTCCTAATTTATTTCTGAAATGTATGCACCATTCAAAAATCACTGAAAATTAACTCACCTGAAGGTTCCCATGAAAAATCAAAAATTTTGAATTTTTCTCTCGAAAATCGCTGAGTTTCGATTCAATTAATGGAAATCTTGTTATTAATATATGTTTTCAATGCATCAAGTCATTATTGTTTGTTCTACCAATCACATGTTTGAAATCGCTTTCTACAAAATGTCAGGAGCATACTTATTATGAGGCTGAGATTGTCATTCCAAGGTCTTCCTATATCCTATAGCCAAAATAATGTTTTTTCTTCCAAATAAAAGATGATAAATAATATTAAAACATATCGAGATTTAACTAAACCGGTCCTGATATACTGGAGGTTTGAAATGTGATTCACAGGTTATATATTTGATTTTATGAATATTCTGATGTTATCATAACTAATAACTGTCAACATTTGTTTTTGGATGTATGATAAATTGATATGCATCATACAGGACGTGGAAAGAAATTTTGAACTGAGAAAACCTGATCACGAATCTGCGATTGAGGTCTATAAAAATATCAAGTTTCCATCGTTCAAGTTTGAACCCCTTGATTGGGTGAAAGTATTGAAAAGGAATATTCCCAGATATAATTATGAACACAAAAAAAATGATATATACCGGGTGGCTACGGAAGTATTGCCTACGGAATATCTCAGTTATTGTATGAAGTAGGTTTGTGAAATTTGGAGCGTCGATATAATGACATAAGAGCTAGAATTTGAGCATTTTGAAATGTCGAAGTTAACTTCCGGTCTGACCGGAAGTAACATCAACTTTCTTATTTCAAATGGGAACCCTATTTTTTTTTTCTTTTCGCTTCATTCAGTATTCAATTCCCTTTCTAATGACATATCACAAGTTGGTATCTAACCAGAAACTAGATCAGAAAAAAATTATTATTGAAATTCACCGAGTAGGCCGTGGAAGCAAAATGAAAGCCAAAAATTGAAAAGTTGACTATGGAAACCATACGTCACTTGATAACAGTTGCTACTACTGTGATATTTTATTTTCATTCGTCGGCGTTATAAAAAGCCGCCAAAAAAAAATATTGGAAAAATTGGGAAAAAAACAATACTCTGTTGATCCATAACTTGAATAGGAACATACAACTTCTTCTTTCCTGTACTATTCAGCATAACCATTCCTTTCTAATGATATAATAGAAAGTCATTTTTTGGCTTTCATTCTGCTTCCACGGCCTACTCGGTGAATTTCAATAATAATTTTTTTCTGATCTAGTTTCTGGTTTGATACCAACTTGTGATATGTCATTAGAAAGGGAATTGAATTCTGAATAAAGCGAAAAGAAAAAAAAATAGGGTTTCTATTTAAAATAAGAAAATTGATGTTACTTCCGGTCAGACCGGAAGTTAACTTCGACATGTCAATATGCTCAAATTCTAGCTCTTATGTCATTATATCGACGCTCCAAATTTCACAAACCTACTTCATACAATAACTGAGATATTCCGTAGGCAATACTTCCGTAGCCACCCGGTATATAAATACATTGAGGATTCGCATTCTCAAAGTCATGAAAATATTAATTCTTTCTCGGTTCATTCAACAGAAATTATGTGCATATCTTTATATGAAGGAGAATGGAAATTCTCTACTCCAGAAGATTTTGTTTTCAAATTCTTATCGTGTGTGTTCGATAAATATAACTCAATGTTCGTCGTGGCTTGTCGCGATATTTGCTTAATTGTAATTTTAAAAATTTTATCAGCAGATTTTACATAATTGAATAAGTACTAGTTCATTCACACAAGTGCACGACAAAGTTTTATGATCATATAAATTGTGTATAATGAGGTTATAAGTTGATAGTTAAAATTATTAAGAAACATTTCATTTTCTTCTTTTTAGAGCGTTTAAATAAAAGCTTTTTATTGAAAAGTTTTTTTTTTACTTTTAATTTATTGAGCGATTAATTTGAGAAAATTTACTTTGACCATTTAACGAAAGTCACGTGACCCCGACCGATAAGTCATTTTTCATATTTTTTTTAAGTTTTTCCATATGATGCCAAATTTCTGAAAGACACTGTATATTATATTCTAGATCGTACATCAGCTCTGAAAACATCTTTCAAGTCCGGATTTTGTTCTATCAGTTCAGTTATGAATTCATCTCTCATATTCCTTTTCAATTCCACTAGTTATCAACATTGGGCCCGTGTTTTGCCAATTATTGAG